CTAGCATGTATGAATCTATGAATCTATGAGGCTAGAGGGGAGAGGGTAGTGGGGCAAAGAGGCTGGGGGAAGAACAAGAGGAGGAGCAAAGGCAGAGGGGGAAAGGGAGGTGAGACTTTGGTGAGGCAGGCATAAGCAGGGGGCAAGCTGCTTTACTCCCCTCCCTGCACCAATAAGTGGGATGAATTAAAGCTAACCCTCCAATAATTAGATTCTATACATAGAAAAGTATAGCACATTTATAAATATTCCATGTTTAGAATCTAATTAGTGGGGAGTCATCTTAATTTCAGAGTCATCTTAGATTTGAGTAAATCTGGTGTGTTTATATATAAATCCCCTTAGTATTATGCGCCTCCTGTATGTTGTGTTGTTGACATATTAGCTTTAAACCATGAGTGTAATGACATCTGCAACTCCTTAGAGCTGTAGTAGACTTCTTAAATGCCACACTACCTTTTAATTGAAGTAATGGTAAAACAGAAGTACAGCTGGGATAGTTCTATGTATTGCTTATTATTAACTCCTTCAAGACTTCCTGCTGTTATTGTAGTAGCCATTAGAATATTCCATGTGGCATAAGGGAATGGCCAGGTAGAGAATGGGGCTAAAATCAGGATGCTGTAAAGGTGAATATTAAGCTGTCTTTGCACAGGAATCTCTGATTTGCATTTTCCGCAGTTTAATCATAACCAAGGATGTGACAATAATTGCGGATTTGAATCTATGAGATACTGTGCTCTCTACTTATAGTAGTATAGTGGTAATGTGGGACATGAGTTTAGACAGTTGGTTAGTTATCATTCCTATCGGTAGAGACTAGTATAAATTTAATCCCTCAAGCTCAAGTAATGACCCCCATTCAGCTCCATTTACCCTTATCTTTTTGGAAGATAGTTTCTGCAAGAACATGTCCCTCCTGAGCCTAATTTCTTTCACTGTGCTATGGAAACAGAATTTTGCATATGTATGAAAGTCCCAAATAGCACAAGATTTAAAGGTGCATGTCATATGGATAGAATTAACTTTTCATTTCCTGTGGTCTTATTTGTTTTGATTATATTAACTATCATATTCACCACATACAGATTCCTCTCTTATGCAGCTCCATTGAAATTACTTAGGGAAAAATATGTCCCTTTGCAGATTGCATTTTCTGTATCTGAATAGGTTATTAAATATAATTTTTCAAAAATAATGTACCACCAAAAGCATAGCATATACAATATTCCAGCATATCATTACTTTTTAAATCTTAATTTCTAAATTTTCTGATTCTTTTTTTCCTTTTGTAAGCTGCCAATGAAGTGTGAGGTGAAATGATTGTTTGATCATTCGATGAATACTGAATTTCACCATATTGTTTCTCTTTTTGTCAGATACAGAACTAAAGTCTAGGGCCAGATTAGATAATATTTAGGGACAGTATTTTGTTCCTCCAGATTAAGTTCACAAGTCTTTGCCCCTCAAGAGAGCTCAAACTTCCCAGGTTTACCCTCTTTGTAGATGTATGGCTCCCATATAGTGAGAATACGTGCAGGCAGGAGAGAACAACACAAAGGCTTATGGAGGAGAGTGCTGAGGAGGGGATGGGTGGCTCAACACAGCTGCTTGCCACTTGATCCCCATGCTAGTTCACTCTGGGCCAGACTGGACCTTCCTGTGCCAGATCCAACCTCTTCACAGGCTGGATACAGTCTGGGGAATAGTTTACCAAGCCCTAGTTGAAACTACTATGAACTGGTTGCTTACTGAATTGGACCATTTTGCCTAAAAAATAGTTTTTATAGCTTCATGTCAAATTGTAAGGCATTATCAAGTGGGGTTCCCCAAGCATCTGCTCTGGCACTGGTTCTGTTTCTATCTTCATTTTTAACTTGGAAGATGGAATCGAATATGCACTTAGCAAATTTGCAAATGACACCAAGTTGGATGAGTTTGCAGGAGTTTTAGAGGACCGAAGTATTATTCAAAATGACTTTGTTAAATTGGAAACATTATCTGACATAAGTAGGATAACACTCTTTTAAAAGAACAGCTTGTTTCACAGTTAGTTGTTTTAAGAGGAATATCAAGCAGGTTACAGAAAGTGATTCCTCAGCCCTTTTTGGTGCCTATGAAGTCTCGCCTGGAAGCTGATGTCCAGCTTTAGGCAACATACTTCACGAAAGACATGGACTAATTGAAGAGTCAGAGGAAAAACAACAAAAAATATTAGAGGTGTATAAAACATGACATATGATGAGAGGTTGAAAAAAGTTGAGATTGTTTAGTCTGGAGAAGAGAAGAAGGGAATGAAGAGGGTTTTGGAAAATGTGGCAATTAGTTGTTCTTTTTGTCCACAGGAAAGAGAACAAGATGTAGTGGCCTTAAATTACAAGAAGGGAAATTTAAGTTAGATTTTAGGAAGAATTTCAAAATAAAGGTGTGATTAAATGCAGGAACAGATTAGGTAGAGTAGTTGTGGAATCTCCTGATTGTCAGTTTTTAGGTAAATATTTGTCTACATATTTTACGCAGAATGATCTTGCCCTGAGAAGGAGGTTAGAGCGCATGGCCTCTTGAGGTCCAATGGAGGCCTATTTTTATGATTCTATATAAAATATGCATTTCTATACTTTCCAAATCACTTTTCTGTTCAATATAAAAACCTGTGTTAATATTTAGTAGAAAAAGTGAATCTCCTCTGACCACTTCAGATTTATTGAAAATAAGAGGTCATTAAAATGTGAAAGAAAAATAGGAATTATTTGTATACATCAACTACCCACGCAATCCTTGATTTAAGACAATAATGTGGCATGTTTAGAAAGTTTATTTTATCTCCATATAGGAGATTCTCTATTAATGTCTCCTTTCCGCTGGAAACAACATATTCAGGCAATTGCACAGAAAAGCTGTGAGCTGTATCATCTCAAGGGTGAAAGTGTATACAGTACAGCATGTCCTTATACTCTGCTCCCAATCAATACACAGTTTGATTTCACTCAGTTTTAGAATGAAAAACTAATTGTAGCTACACAGTCAAGGACCCTGACCCAAAACCTCTTGATTTTTCCCCCCTTTTCCTTATTCAATCACAGTTCAGGAAAGGACAATGAGCAATAACTACAATAGAAACAAAAATTATTAGTCCTTCTGTTTATTGAAGGTGTGTGCATGCTTGGTCTTGTTCACATACACATTTCTTTTTCCACTTACGAAAGAGAGAAATCATGCATGTAACAAAATGGCATCCTACCCACAACAGTTATTGCAGCCCTTTACACAAAGAAAACAATCAGTAATAGTGTTGGGGCTCCTGCATGCATCTCATTCATTAAAATGTCTGATGTGTAACCAAAATATTAAATGAGAAAAGAAATGGCATTAGTTTTCTGTAGATCACAAGTCAAATCAAGTCAGCCTTGAGGCCACTGCAACCACTGGGGAACCCCAGCCCTCCTTTAGTTGATTTGGTTTGCATCATTGGTGATTCTTTGGGCAGAATGACCTGGCGGTGCCCATCTCCTCTCCAGGTACGGATGGCCATTAGCTCACAGGGAACTCATCTGCCCTTTGACAGACCTTGTTTTCAGTCCTGCTGGGTGTCCATACACCTTCCTCACCCTGGCTATATCTGGTGCGGGTGATGATTTAGCTGCTGACAATTCAACCATGGAACAGGCTGTACTGGTTTACATGATACCAGATAGCACCAAGAGAGGCCTGGCTTGACAATGTCTATAGATCACAGTGACAGAGAAACTATGGTAATAAATGAGATGGAAGAGGAGGCTTTGAGGCATACCCAACCTGTGTATGACCTATTGTAGATGCCTTCAAGAATCCTGGTTAGGCAACTAGTAACTTGGGCATCTGAAACTTGTAATTCAAGAACTGTCATTATACAGTGGCATAATTATGTCTGTTTAATCTAAATAATGTTGCAAGTTTCTTTTCATTATCTGGTGTCATGTCCTGTCTTGGAAAATGTGATTTTCATAAAGTACTGGCAATAATAAAGTTTAGAGACAGTGAGTCATTGGATGAAGAAGTCTGGGTCACTTGCCTACAATGGCCGTGCATAGACGAAACAAGAGGCATGTGTGCGCGACACTTTAAAGCGGGCTAAATGCTTTTGCACCACTTTAGTGGTGTCAGTGTTTGGACACCTTGGCAGTGTATTGCACATTAATTCCAGCCACTGTAGGAAATTCAGTGGCGTAATGCGCCTTAAATTACTTGGGGTGCAGCAAACTAAAACTCCTCTGAGGAGTTTTAGTTTGCTGCCCCTACAGCCATGAAGTGAAGAACCGGACTCCGTGCAGCTCAGGGGCTCTGCAAAAAGCCCTTCAGACAACCTGACAGCAGCCCAGGAAAGCAGCTCTACCCAAGAAAAGTGGCAAGCCTGATCTTTTTTCCCCCTCCCCTGAAGCCTGCCTGCCTGAGCTACCCAGGGCCCTGGTGCTTCCCTCCATGGCTGCGGTGTCCCCTGGGACTGCCCAAGCCAGGTGCCTGAGGGCAGCTGCTGCCTGGGGGGGGGGCGGGGGTGCAGCTGGCACAAAGGGAAGTACCAGCCCCCGCAGCCCAGAGACTGCTCTGCTTGCTGACTGCTCGCCCTCCCCTCCCCTCCTCTCTGGAGAGGGAGATAAGTCAGCAGGATGTGTGCATGACAGGGGGGTTTAATCAGCCCTAAATTGGAGCATTGTTCATTAAAAACCACCACTTCAATTCAGGGCACCCATTTCATCTATACACACTCAATAATCCCAAAGTGTGTGTGTTTTTGTGTGCTTAGTTACTGATTTACGTATCCATTGCCTGTGAGGCACTAGGGTGATTTGTGACAATTGTTCAGGTTAGAAAAGTTTCACTTAAAATTCAGTATATGATTTAGATGAAGATATTCGCTAAATTTGGTCAACTTATCACTTTCAGCCTTTCTCAAAAGCTTTGATTTTAACAAAGCTGTCTACTGTAATGCAGTCTCCATCTGATTTCTCTCCTCCTCATTCTAGGTGAATACAAACACAATAAATGTTATGAAGCAGAAGTTTGATGATGGGTCTTTAAAGGTGAACTAATACATTGAACAGGTCTGTTTATATTAAAGTTAAAGTTATATTAAAGCAGTGTAGCAATGTGACTGGGTGCCTGGGGCACTGGGGAAGTTATGACCTCTGTTTGCTGCCATGCTGGCAGCATGCTCACAATCACACAGCTTCCAGGAGCAGTCCTTGCCCAAGTCAGCGCCTAGACCCATTGCCTTCTACTTAGACCACTGGGTAGGTGGATAATGAAATAACCTTTTCAGTTTAGTTTGTGGCTTATTATGTGAACTTCTCATAAAAGACAGGGAAGTTTATTGTCTTCCTTCTGTCTTTAAGGCACAGCTAAATGAAAACTTCAAAGACTATACAAATAAGGCTTAGATCACTACATTGTAAAAAATCATTCAAATATATTTGTAGATTATTAATATAAGTTAAAAATTTTACATTCTGTTGAAATTCACTCATTCCCACTTTCATCACACATTGTCACTTTTCAAATAAAATAGGTATATTTTATTTTAACAGAAATAGGCAGAAATTATTTTACTAGTAGCCATATATAATATAAGTAAGAACTCCAGTATACTCGTTACTTACTTGTTCTATATGTTCTCAGTCCCTTTTTATAAAGTATATAACACATATGTCATATGGCAGAGGTCAGCTTCTAGGGATTACCCCATTACAATATCTTTTGTGTTTTTGCATCTCCAACTGGTTTAGATATGATCTTTCTTGGTGTCTTAAATGGACATTTTAAAATTCAAAGCAGAAAGTTTAGGATATTGATTCTCAAAAGGTAGAAAACACAATCCTATTTTTGAGGTCGAACAGGTAATTTAAAAATGTTGCTCTTGATTTTTGTGGATATTTCAGGCAAGTTCCCCTTCCTCCTATTCACAAAGTCTGTGTGCATGAAGCAGAGACATAAACCTAGAAATGCTTTTATAACACAGCATGTTGCTTTGAAATAACACAACTGGATTTTGTAGGAAGTGAAGGACATTCTTATTTTCTGTGGATACACTGACTTTCAGCCAGCATGACCCAGAGGGAATGGTATATTTTGAATAACATGTCACTCAGGAAGGCAACACAAGCTATCACTGTATTATTTTCTGCATTTCAGATTCTACAGCAGACTGGTCAAGGCCTACATCTGCAGTGACCACAAACTCTCTGCCTCACACATTTTGTTTGACCAACATTTGCTATACAAGTAGTTCTTGAACTGGTGGAAGTCTTATTGCTACTCCCTGCCCCCTGGTCCACCTAAAAAAAAAATCACATTCCTTGATTGGCTGTATGCTGGCTTGAGGATTGTCCTAGAACCATTCCTAGAAATAAAATTTTGTATTTGAAATGGTATCACAATTTTCAAAATGAATTATTCTTCACATTCACTACAAACAAAAACAACCCCCAAAACATAATTTCAGTAATGTTTTTCAGTTTCAATACCTGTCTGTTAATGTCTGTTAAATATCAAAAAGTTAATTGTAAACCCAGCGTATGCTGCTAATGATGTTGAGATAGCATTTATATAGCAAGAAGTTTCAAGACCCTATACAAACATGAACTAGCTAATCTATACAATGCACTGGTGAAAAAGCTAAATACCATTAGTAAAGCTGGTGAGCACTGCAATAAAATGAAAAAACATAAATTAGGTTATTACTAGTATTTAAATACGGTGTCTGATTCAAATTTGTTACACATCCCCTGTCACATTCACTTTTGATGAAGACTACAGTTAGCAAGCTTTTTGAAAAAGGTATACAAAATAGAAATATGCATATTGAGAGAAATCAAATTACAAATGCATAAATGTGTATAGTTAATTGGAAATATCACTCCCAGATTGGGTGAATGTTAACATGATACCATGTGATCTAAATTTGTTAAGAAAATTTGCTACTGTAGTTTGCCTTTATATACTGACAATTGAAAAGTTTACTGATGCAAAATTAATGCAGTAAGAAATTATTCATAAGAAATGCAAAGAAACTATACGTTTTGCCTAACAGACTGTGAGTAGAGAAATAAATGTGGTCATTCGATAATTCTTTCCTTTATTTGATTGATGCAACCCCCCCCCGCAAAAAAAAACAAAAACATTAAAATAAAAACTGAGTCAGAGAGGAAATGATTTTCCCAAATGCTCACAGTCTTTTTCAGAGATGGAACTGGGAAGGTGAGCTTCTGTACGTCTTGTCCTATGCTCTTACTATTAGCGCACACAACCAGTAAAATCTTTGAGGTCTTGTACCTGTTGGGGACATAATGGATGTTTGGATTTGTATTTTTGTAGCAGAAATTATTTACTATAAGAAGCTGGCTGGGGAAAGCTGATAGAAAATGGCATTGATGCTATGGGTGATTTTCTCTGCACTCCCTTTTTTTCTTTTTGGTGGGAAGGGGAGGCATCATTTTCACTGTTCAGTCTGTATGTTAACATAAATAAATATTTGGACAACGAAAAATTTATGCCAGTTTGTGATATATTTACATTGGTCTTTACTAGGCAATTTAAATTACTAGAAATGATACATTTAATAAATTTCTGTCATCCTGAAAGTATGGTTTCTATTTTTAATCAGGACAATTCTTTAGTTACAGTTGGGGGGAGGGGAATGGGGGAAAATGTGTCTGCTTTTAGATCCCAAGTTTTTTTTGCTGCAACCCGCTGCTGGGAGCAGAGTGCGGCAGTGGTCCAGAGGCAGAGGCGGGGGAGCTCCTAGCATGCAGCATGTCCTTTGCATGCAGCACTGCTGGCATTGCCTCTGTGACCCTCATGTGGGTCATGACCTGAGGTTGGGAACTGCTGTTTTAGATAGATACTATTCTAATTTAAGGGGAAAGAAAGTGAGCATTGAATTATGCTTTCTGCCCATCATTGCACAATGATATTTTGTTTTACAGGATGTTCCTTGTTCATTTACATCTCTTTTAATTGCTACTTCTGCATATGGGGCTTGTGACTAAAATAAATATTAAAAAAAATATTTGCTAGCTTCTAAAAACTGTGTTAATAGTCTCCCGTAGGCCTTCATTATACCTCATAACTTCATGTAACGCTATACAGTAGCATAATTAGAAAATGTCAGTACTCAGAACTCTCAAATACTTGCTTTCTTGGGGATGAGAAAGCAGCACAGTAAATGACCTAACAAGGGAATGAACTCAAGCCCTTTGGCTGTTGTCCAGTTTACAGATGAGCTATAAAAGGCTTTTGGCTGTTTTAGATCGTCCTTGTTTAATTTCCCCCCCACCCCTCCTCCCACCCCTAAAGGTACTAACCTACAGATAACATACTATGGCCTTTGAGAAGCTGTATGCAAAATTAATTCCATGCTACACTGTGACATTTTTGAAAGACTAGAAACAGTAGTAGAGGACCAGTGACTGAAGTGAGGGCCTTGTTACATGTGCCACTTTTGAGCTGCTCCAATGTTGATCAGTGTTATTGTTAGCTCCAGTTTGCAGTGGTTGCATGTTCAAGCCAGCAGAGGCCTAGATGACTGAAAGATAAGAATTGTCTCCTTCCTCTCCCATTCTGGGCTTTCCCGCTGCCCAGCCCTGAGGCTCCTCCCGATTCCCCTGCCCCCAGGTCTCCACCCTGCCCCCACTCAGCCCTCATGGCTCACCCACACCCCCCGGCTTAGATGTGGCTGCCTTCCCAGACTAGACAGCAGCAGCGGTGGCCAGAAAAGCAGGTTCCCCTTCCCTGTCTGCTCCCCTGAGACAGCACAAGATAAGTCAGTACCAGGGACTGGGATAAGTGGAGATCTGGGGTACTGTGGAAAGTTGGGGATGGTGGGCCCGATCCTGAGGTGTGAGGTGGGGAGGAGCAGGCTGATCCAGGCTGGTGGTTTCTTCCCAGCCCTTTAGGGCTCTCCCTGCTTCTCCCTGGCCCCTTCTGCCCCTGGGGCTCCCCTCATCTCTCAAAGTTTATTTTCAGCTGTTGGCACAGTTCCCATAGAGAGGCAAGCAGGGAAAGGGATCCCACCTGCTTGCCCTCATCACTGCCACTGCTGACACTGGGCTGTTGCTCTTTTCTGAGCTGAACCCAACCCAGGGAGTAGGGAAGACAGCAGTGGGAGCTGGACAGTGGGGTTTCCCTTCCCTGCCTGCTTTCCCCAGGACAGTTCTGGCAGCTGAAAGTAAGCAGGAGGACATGATGGGGAGTGAGCCGGGATCTGGAGTGCTGGGGGGCAGGAACAGTAGGCCTAGTCTGGGGGGGTAGTGGGCCAATCACAGATGGTGGGTGGTGGGGGTGGAGGGTAGCAACCCGATAAGAAAAGCAGTGAGCCTGATCCAGGCCAGCAAGGGATGGATGTGTGTGGGGTGTTCACACTAATGTTTAGCCTAGAGTGGTTACACATTAGTGCAACACAAGCTGAATAACACAGATCAGAAATAAACCTAGGCTGGAGTGGCATAACTTTAAGTAGCCTAAAGAGTGTTTAAGACTTGTTTAATGTGTTTACTATCATGAAAGAGAGAGACAGCAAGAAACTGTTTTCCCT